GTCGCAATATTTTAAATGATCAACAGAATATTTTTGATCAAGTATAGTACAAAAAATATCAACAGTAATTCTTATTTGTAACATCAATAAAAAGATTATAAATAATTTTAAAATCATTTTAAAAGTGTAAAATAATTAGATTATCAAGTTTTTATATATACTTTTTTAATTAACTTTAATGATATATACTATATTTGGTTTTATTTACAGTATCATATGATTATTTGAAATTCTTTGTCATAATTTCTTACATAAATTTGTCTAGATTTTTTTGAACGATTAAATTTCTTTTAATTTTTTTTACACAAAATGACAAAATTTAAAAACAAAAATATGAATAAATTTCAACAACAATCATATCAAAAAACTATTTTCTTATTTGAAATACAAACTGAATTAAACAATTTCTTAATGAAATTGAAAAAATTAATATCAAAGAAGATAACCCTTTCCTCATCTCCACAAGAAGGAAATTATTAAAATTTATTTATCTTAAGGTATTATTTTTTTACAATAATAAAATTATTATTTTTAATTATTTTATAATAAAAAAATATAAATTTTATTTATTTAGATTTAATAGTTCTACGTCCAAAGTGACATTTTCAAATAATGTCAAATCACAAGCTTTGAAAAAGCTTGTTAATTTTGATAATTTAATTTAAATTGTTTATCTTCATGATTATATAGTAATAAAATATCGTATAATCATGAAGACAAACAATTTTTTGTAATCTTTTATTTAATAATGTTTATTGTAAAAATTAAAAAATGTAATTACTATATATAATAAATATAATAAATTATCAAATTACGAATTTTTAACATCATTCTGATCATCTGATCTTATTTTAATTTTAATATTTAAAGAATAGATTTTTACTGATAATAAACAAAATTCGTAAAAAATGAATTTTAAAATTTTAATAATTTGGATACTATATATTAATATTGTTTATAGTATTCATATTACTACAAATCAAATGTGTACTTGGGAAGAAACATTTGATAAAATTAAACATAAAAATGTTCGAGATAATATTGAAAAAGAATTAGAAGAACTTCTTGATTCTTGGGTTGATAAAGACTGGATATTATTAAATGAAAATATAATTTATGAAATCAATTATGAATGTAATGAATTTACAGTTACTATAGAACGAGAATATGATGATGATAATGATGATGTTGATGATATTTAATTTTTTTTTTATTTTTTTTATTTTTTTAAAAAAATATAAATACAATATATTTTATAAATAAAGTTTTTTAAAGTTTAATTATGGCTACTGTTAAAGAATTAAAATTGTTATTAAAATTAAATTCTGTAAGAAAAATTAAAGAAGGTATTATTGATTTAATAGAATTAAATAAGGATGAAATTTCAGAAACAGAATCTGAAAATTTAGAAGAACCTTACGATGATTCAGATTCTGAAGAATCAGAAGAATTAGAAGAAATAAAAACAAAACCTAAAAAAAAGAAGAGAAAATTAGATAAAAAACCAACTAAAAAAAAAAGAAAATTAAGTAAATATAATATATTTATGAGAGATGAAATGAAAAGATTAAAGAAAGATAGTGTTGCATTGAATAAATTATTTTCAATGGCAACTAAACATTGGAAAGAATCTAAAAATAACTTTTAAAAACATTCGTTATTATTTAAAAAATATAAATATAAAGGATTTTAAATTATATTTTATTAATAAAAAAATATGTTAATAAACAAATTATTAATTATATATCTGTTTAATATTTTTCTCGTTAATTATTTAAATGATAAACAAATTTTACGATCAATTGATTTAAAT